GAGAGATATTAAACCAAACATAACTGAATGATTAAGTGATCTGGTGCTTCTCAGATATTAGGGGATGGAGAACATGTATTAAGAATGGGTACCTCTTGGTTTCTTCATCATCATACTGTATTCTGTCATCAAAAATTATGGGTTATTTTCATTTCACAAGAGATGAGTAATTAATTTAAATCAGTCTGCAGTTTAAATCAGTTGCTGGAAGATATGTAATTGTATTTCAATCTGAACTTGTCTTAGTTCATTACTTCATAACTTTGCAGAACACATTCCTGTAACATTCAAGGAAGGTTATCAACTCCCTTCCAGTAACCCTAGAGACTTATGAATTAAACTAATTGAAATGTATAAGGGGAGCTGAAACAGAAGAATGTTTCTGTGCTTAAAAAAAAAAAAAAACTCGTTTGTTTTATTTAAATCCATCGAAGCTTGCACAAGCTGAATTTAAAAGAAAAAAGATTCCAGGATACACAAATCTATTTTTCAACTTCTTAATTAAGATGCCTTTTCAGCACCTAAATAATTAAATTTATAAAATCATTAGCTATCAACCTAGCAGAATGTTAGTAGAACAGATGAACATGTGTTTAAAATCATAAGCAATGGCATACTAGTCATGGAGGTGACTTGCAACCGCGTGGTTTCAACTGATCTCAGCCTCTGACTTTATTCTGGGGCTCCTGGAATGTCATGAGTGAACAGCCTGTTTATTTTAGTTAAGCTGCAATACAACAGGCTACTTGCATGAAATAATAGGTTAGGCACTACTATAAGATGAGGTTTCTCAAATGTCACATAACAGCAGGACAGCAGTGAGAAGGCAAGCGGAATCTTTGTAGGATTTCTGTGTGAGAAAATGAAAATACATTACACATATGGCACGGAGGAACCTTAGAAACAGCTTTGGAATTTGGATTGCTCTGGAATAAACATTTGCTGTTCCTAGCACAAGGTATAAGCATTGTCTTTTTAAATGTTGTGTTATAAGGATTATTATACATTTGTGCATGCCCCAGCAGGTGGCATCTAACTAGAGTAAAATTCATTTTCACCAAGAGACTAGGAAACTAAAATTGCTTCACAAGTAATAGTGCCCAAGAATAAGAGGTCTCCAGTGTCAGGGAATACAAAAATGCAGTGAAAGATGAAGCTAATGGCTTTTGTTGATGTTTCTATTATTGTTGAAGGAACAAGCTTTGCATGAATATAACATGTAGTTTCTTCTTTTATTATTTATCATTGGCTTCCCAGTTCTTCAAAGCAGCTCCTGTGATATTTTTTCAAGGCTCACTTCTAGACATACCGTCTCTGTCTGTGAGCATATATGTATGTGTTTGCAGATTTTCGTCTCTGCTTTGACCTTGGAACCTACAGAACTTTAGCTATAAAGTTCATGAAGTATACAGTCCTCCCTATTCCTAAATACAGATGATCACCAAATATCCTACTATAGTGGTTTTGTTTGGTTTTGTTTTCTCAAAAGAAATGAGCAAATTATAGAACTGACACAATTTTTAAGAGCATTAATTATGGTCAGTAAAATAATGTTTAATGCTTTTAATCCTTATATAACCCTGTCATGATAGTGTCAATATTGGGAAGATACTTGCAATTCTTTGAATACAGAGCTACAGTAAGGCATCTCCTTCACCACCAAATCATTTAGTTGTACTTGGAAGTTAAATGTAGTGTGTTTTGTTGCTGTCGGTCTGAAGAGTGAGGCTTAATAAGACAGAATGGTAATCAATGTGATTTCCCTCCTGACTGATGGAAATCTGGAGGTGGACCATTGAAAATAATAATTAATTGTGCATTTTAGAAATATCATTAGCCACTGAATATTGTCAACATGTTTCAGTATACTGAATTTTTTCAGGCTAATTCTTTTTGTACCAAGAAACAAGTTGTCTAGTGCTCACAGGAAGTCTCAAAGTGAATTTAAGTGGCTTTTGTAGTAGTATGCCCTGGGAAGGTATCACTATTAATACATCTCAGGTACATTAAGCAATCTGTTATTCGCACTAAAAAACACACTCAGCACAGGTCACAAAGATGTTCTCTTGACCAGGTGTTCTGCAATAATTCAAATTACTTGTTTTTGTGTAATAGAAATATGAACAAGGTCACTTCGGATGGCACATGATCCATGAAGCACTGTCCAGGGTCCTGAAAAAAGGTCATTTCTCAGTCTTGCAGAAGTTCAGTTAGACAGGTGGAATTGGGGTCTGCTGTGTTAAGTCTTTTTAGCTTAGCTGTTGGAAGTAAATGAACCCAATTTAACATCTGAGCTAATTAGTAGGAAAAATTTATGCTAGACACTTTACAGTTTGTCTGAATCTAAAAGCTTAATCTTTCAGTTTTCCAAATAGGCATTCAGCAATGACTCCATAAACATAGTTGAGAATGCTATTTGGAAGTAGAAACATTAAAATGCTATAACAAATAATATTGTGGTAAAAAATTCATGAATAAGAGATCGTGGTAAAATATGTTTTCTCGGGTTCCACAAAATGTCAGCTACATTGCAAAAATTGCAGAAATTTGATTAGCTACAATGGAATATGCTATTTTCGGGTAGTAGATATCAATTATATTGGGAAATGAAAACAGCTAAGAATATGTATTTTCCATGGCAGTAATTATTATATCTGCTAGGATAAAAAAGAAAATGAACAACTAGAATGTAATAAATGAGACAGCATATGCAAGACAGAACATGTTGGACTGTACACGTTTTACAAGTGATATTTCAAATATGGACTGAAGGAGTCGCTATATACCCTTGGTTCAGCACTAGGCGTTCCTTTTAAAGTGCTCAAATAGTTGAATTGTTTGATTGAATCGCCTGCTAGACTGCAGACTAGCCATTCATGATACTTACTTTTGACACTGCACTTATGCTTCCATCTTTAAAAAAAGATGCCATTTAATGCTTTGGAAAATGTAGATTCTTTCAAATCATCATTGTAACATCTTTAAATATATAGATTGAACAAGATCACTATAATGAGATGAGTACCTCTTGCTATTTGGAAGAAATGTGACAATAGTAATATAAGCACTTAAATATTTAAGTTCTCATATCACTCCTTACTTTATAATTAGATAATCTTCAAATATTATATAATCCCATTATTTTCCATAATGTTTAACCTATGCCCTATTTTCTGATTATGAAAAGTGATTAATAGTAAAATACAAGTTCAACAGTTTGTTCTCTGTGCTTCTTAATAATGTTCAAATGTTATCAGTCAGATATTTATTGCTGTCCATATTATCTTTACTTACTAATGTAAATAGTAGTAGTAGATTTGGAGATAGTTTTAATTGATGGGCAACATGCTATTTCAACAAAAATGTCTTTATGTTAAAAGAAAAACACATTTCTTTACCTGAATGAATTTCTACTTATGAAACCTTAGAGAGGAGGTGACTCTAAATATTTCATCAGAAAATTAGCCAATAACAAAATTATTTAGACAAAACTATACCACTTACTTAATGTTGTTCAAAATATGATCCTATTTTCCGTGTTGTAGAGGAAAAAATTTAAAAAAAAAAGACAGGAAAAAAATGAGAACAAAAGCCTCTGGATAGAGTTTGCTGTGGTAGTTCAGATATCACTGCCATTTATATATGCTCCATTATTTTAGATGATCTAAAATTTGGGTGAGAAAAATGATTCTCTCATTTTAATTCCACATTTTCCCCCAAAAGTGTGCTTGAGGAAATTTCTCTCTACTCCTAGTTAGTAATCAAGGAATGATCCACTCAAGTTTTTTAAAGACCACACTTTTATTTCCAACTGCAGTCCATTTTAATAAAAAAGTATAAGGCTCCTTCGACTTAACAGCAAATTAGTTAGATTTACAGCAAATTTCTGTTTTAGAGTATTTCCTTTTTCTACCACTCCTAGGCAGAGTGGCTTTGCCTTATTCATTTATTAAAATTCATCAGTTGATTGTAAGAAGTCAGCATGCATACATCATTTTCTTAGCTGAGTCTTACTGAAAAGCAAAGCAATTTTCATCACGTAAATAAATCCGTTTTCGCAACTCAAAGCGGGCTATCAGATTGGTTGCATAATGTATACCGGGAAGCTCTCTGGTAGGAAGCCTTAACAGACGAGCAGCTATCTCAATTTTTCTCACTTAATCTTGGCTTCAAGGCAGAAGCTGTGCAGCAGTGCAGTAGAGTAAGGGCCTGCCGAAACCTTGGCGAGCAAAGCGCCTTTTGTGCTGGGACTGTGGCTCGCTACGGACACCTAGTCGGTTTTCAGGGCTGGACTTCCTATTGATGTTCCTCTTCTTGTGCTCCCCCAGGTTCGTGCTGCCGGACCTTGTGGGGGGTCGTGGTGGGTTGTGCGTGTTGGATTTCTCCCGGATGCTCTCGGACTAACATGGATGTCCCACCATCCCTTGCAGTGGAAGCTAGCTCCTTGGCGCAGTGAGTGAAGAACATGCAGCGATTGCTAATGGGTTTGGGAAGCGAAGACTCCTTCCTCTGTCTGTGACCATGCCGTGATCGCGTCTGCAGTCTCTACTCGACTCATCCTCCTTCCTGCCCAAGCCCGGAGCCTAACGCTAGATCGGGGGAGTGGGTGCCACGCGCGCAGGCAAGGAAACATCATGAAGATTATTTCCCCGGTTCTAAGTAATCTAGTCTTCAGGCGCTCCATTAAACTCCTGCTCTGCTTACTGTGGATCGGATATTCGCAAGGAACCACACATGTGTTAAGATTTGGTAAGAATCCTCTTATCTCCCCATCTCCTGGTGGGCTCCGAGGAGAGCCGGATGTAAACAGGCTGCTGGATCTGTCTGGCGTGGGCTCGCTTCCCAACCTGCTTACTGCTCAGTCCCTCCCGGGTTTTAAAGAGCCCCCTTGCTTTCATTTATTTCCTCTGTCTTCATTTTATTTTCAGCCCCGGGAGGGTGGAGGGGATGCCAGTGCAAGAGGGTGGTGACTCCAGGGGCACCGCCAGACTCGAAGCTGTCGGTCTTTCCCGGAGCCTTTCTGCTGTCAGGGCGGCGCGGTCAGAGAGAAAGTGAGCACCCGGGCTTGCAAACCTGCAGCCTGCGCAGATGAGTTAGTATCTGGTAACTCTTGAGTTGCGTCTGTCCGCTTCCGCCCAGACCAAAGGCACCAGCCCTTTGATTTCTTTTGTAAGACAGCCTTATTGGTCAATTTAATCTTTTCCGTCCTTGGTGGTCTTACTGAAATGCAAGACTATAAGAAAAACTGATATAAAATTCCAGGCTTGGCAATGAGAAGTCATTGCTCAGTGGGAGCGAAATAGCGCGGTGAAATAGCGCGGTAAGGACAGGTTTCTTGTTTGTTTCTGTTCTTAATGTGCTGAGTTCCCTTTCACAGCTTTTTCTGCAAGAGTCCAGAACTAATAAATGGAACAGTAGTAACTGGGGGTAGAGGGAGGAGGGGAGTTGTGTGTGTGTGTGTGTGTGTGTGTGTGTGTGTGTGTGTGTGTTGGTCTAAATGCATCTTTTTTTCACTCTGACATGGATAAAACACAATAAAAGACAATGATAGTTACATTTGAGGAGAATGTAGAGCTTTCTTAAGAATTCAGACTTCTTTGGAACTTGAAGGAAAATCTAAAGGAATCCCTCCCTGGTCAAGAGATTTGCTTGAAGGAAGTGAAGCATAGGAAATGCCTAGCTACTCTTCATGGCCATTGTAATTGTAGTTAAGGAAGTTCCCTAAAGTAGGAAGAGAGGAGAAAGTCCTCTGAAAAAGCTCCCACTATGGGTACCTCCTTATTCAGTTCAAGGGGATTTGGAGCACAGAAGGCAGGAAACCATATAATCGCAACTATGTGTCTTTGAAATAAAAGTGGATGCATTAAGTTATTCAGTCTAATTATAGCAGGGATTGCCTGAGTCTTCTGTAACACCAAGAACATTTCCCATTTTCCTGTGTGATATTTTTTAATGATAAAATTCACTATCTTTCCCATGCTTTGTGGAAATTAGATAGGAATACTTTCACATTTATTTGAAAAGGTAGCCTCCTCTCCTAGAGTCAAGAAGACTGGTAATGAGAAAAGACAATAGCATATAGCTAGATTCCTATGGCACTCCTGCTTTCTTTATGTCTGTAGCTGGTACTTAAGCATGTTGCTCTTAGCAACAAGCATCCACAGGAATGCTTGTTTCTTTGGACAGGATTAAAGAAGTTCCTATATTACTGAGAATTGTGTATGAAGATGTAGATGGTGTTTCATAGTTTGGCCTCTAGCATGGGAAATAGTAATTCAACACACTTATGTGCGTTCCCTATGTATCTTCTCATGCATATTTGTGAATGAGTGTACATTGTTAAGTGAATGGGTGGGAAAAAAAGACTTGGGTCCTGAAAACTGCCACCAAATATTCTCAAGATTTAATTATCACTCACTACTCTGGTCATGCAGCACAATATTTGCTGAATCATTAGATTGTTCCAATCACTGATCATTTCATATCTTCATACTAAAAATCTTGGCATCAGTGGCAGTGTGTAGTAGCTTTCCGGAAGAGTTGACACATACACAAAAGCATTTTCTTAGACCAATGCTAAGAATGTTCTTAAGAAATACAGTCCTAGGCAAAGACCAGTCTCTTGATGCCCTAAACCTCCAGCCTAATTTCTAGATAGCCTGCTATTTTCTACATGAGCTTCAAACGTCTTCCACGTGAAGATCCATTTTCTCTGAAATCTGACGGAACTCTCCGGGAAGGACTGTGCACAACTGTAATCATTGGGTTATTTCCCTGTTGGGGTTATTTTGGTGCTGTAGTGGGAATTCTTTTTTTCTTCTGGGGTAAACATGTTTTGAGTGGATTGGATGGTTAGTTAAGCTCGTATAAGCACCTCTTATGAATGTTTATTTTCAATTTTGGTTCTAAAGTTGAACCAGTGTACTATACCTGGCTTCTGGCCTTGGAAGAGAAGGACTGTAATTGCTAGTAGGACAGCTGCCCCTTGGCGGTGATGGGTAGCCCGGTGCGGGTGAAAGCCACTGCCTTCCCTACTTGCCTTTCCCGGCAGGCAGCTTAAAGTGAGGCTGCATCTTCCACTCAACGGAAAGGCTGGGAGCTGCCAGGCTTCTGGCGCTTTTGCGCAGCGCTATGGCAACCGTGAAGCCTGACAGCTGGCCATCCCAGCCCCTTTTCCCCAGTGCTGGTGGAAACTCAGCCTATAAGCTCTGTGCTGTCCTTCCCCCTGCTCCAAATATTACTGTGACCTGCCCTTTCCTCTTCCTATCACAGTCTGGAGAGCAAGGAGCTCCCTCCAGCTCAGCTCTGCCTACTCTGGTTTCCCTTCCATTCCCTGCCTTTTTGCTCTGTCTTTTGCCTTCTCTCCGCCAACTTCCCTCTCCACCTTTCTCCCCCCGCCTTCAAGCAACAGAGCGGAAATTGCGCAAATCATGCCTCAGACTTGGGCACAGTGACTCACTACAGTGCCAGCGAAAACTTTGCAGCTGCACCGGGGCGTGGTCTGTCCTGCCCTAGGCCTGACTTCCTGCAGGCTGCGCGCTGGGCCTGTGCTTTTTGGAGCAGCTTGGCAAATCATCTCCAGAGTTGACCCCAGGGTGCCTCCCAAAGCTGTAGGGCCTTGTGAGGAAGTGAAGAAAGCCACCTGAGGGTTGGCCAGGTGTCACTTACTGGCCGTGGGGGGTCGGGGGAACATCTTGACTTGGCTCTCAGTGGTTCCACTGCTTTGGATTCTGAGACTTCACTTGGCCTCTCCTGGTTGCTGGATGTCCGCCCATGGACCTTGCCTTCCACGGGTGTTAGCTGTACCGCAGAAAGTCAGATTCCTACTCCGGGTCAGGTCAGACGTCTGCAGCCCTCCATCCTGGGCGCAGCGCCCACGACTGCCCCCCGAGGTCTTTCTTGAGCCCTATCACCCGCCGCCGCGCTTCTGCGATATGGAAATGAGGCACCTTTGTTCCTCCACAGCCTGCGGCGTCTCCGCTCCACTCCCGGCACAATAGGGCGACATCTTTCAGTCCGCCCGGGTGTAGCCCTAATGCTTCTTTTAGTAAATTAGCGTGTTCAGGCTTCTGGGTCTGGTAGTTTCCTAGTTCCCCTTAGGACGCGCAAGCTGAGAAGAGGCTCAGTCTTCGCATTGGGCTGGCCTCCGGCTCATCTAGTGCTTTGGCTTGTTTGAGCATCCTCTTCAAGTAACCACATGCCAGATTACTACTGACTGTTTCTGATCTTTGGAGTCAGATTACTATTCAAAGTACACTTGAAGTGAAATTTAGGATGCCAGGAGCACGAACATCAACCGAAACTTTGAAACTCCTGGGCAGTTTCTCCAAAACAATCCTTTCCTGTGAGCGGCCACTTCTTAGCACCTGATGTCTTGACCTAATTTATTTCTTAAGCTAGCGGGTGGAACGGTTTTGTTAAAAGGTTTCCGACTTGACGCGCTTTGGTTAGCTTGGCACTGCAAAGTAGCCGGCCACCCACCCTCCACCCGGCTGCGCATTCCTGGTGCACAAGCCCTAGTACAGGCCCTAGCTCAACAGGGGCCCACCAGATAAAACTCACACAGTGGAGGGGATGGGAGGGGTGCTTGCGGAAACTCCTCGACTTTTCTGGGCATCTCACATCTCATATGCTGTTGGATATAATGATAGGTGGCAGATGCACTGCACCGTTGAGGAACGAGAGTGAAGGAACTGAACAGGGAAGCTTCCACTCTCCCCAAGTTCTTTGAAAGAAATCTTTCTTCCTTTGAGAGGTAAAGTGGGCGGGAAGGAGGAGTGACCTCGTATCTGGAAGCTGGAAAACTGAGTCTTGGGAGGAGATGAGGAGTGACAGCAAAAGATAAAACCTTCAAGGCCTAATCATCTATGCGCTGGATGGCAGGAGAGGAAAATCTTTTCAAGAATAACCAGTACAAGGGACACACTTAAAAAAATTTTTTTTCTTTCTTTCTTTCTTTCTTTCTTTCTTTCTTTCTTTCTTTCTTTCTTTCTTTTTCTTTCTTTCTTTCTTTCTTTCTTTCTTTCTCTCTCTCTCTTTCTCTCTCTCTCTTTCTTTCTTTCTTTCTTTCTCTCTCTCTTTCTTTCTCTCTTTCTTTCTTTCTTTCTTTCTTTCTTTCTTTCTTTCTTTCTTTCTTTTTTCAAATGG